TGTAACTCAAAGGACATTCTTCAGAAGGTACCAAAAGACGTCCAAGCTATAAAGGCTAGTTTGCAATGCAAACAGTGGCTTGGTGGAATCTTTGGTTTATATAAAGCAATGGCTCGGCAGAATAACAGAATTGGAAGGGATTTTGGAGGTCTTCTAGTCCAACCCCCTGCTCAAGCAGGAGACCTTACATCATTTCAGACAAATGGCTGTCCAATCTCTTCTTGAAAACATCCAGCGATGGAGCACCCACAATTTCTGGAGGCAAGCTGTTCCACTGGCTAATTGTTCTTACAGTTAGGAAATTTCTCCTTAGTTCTAGCTTGCTTCTCTCCTTGATTAGTTTTCACCCATTGCTTCTTGACCTGCCTTGAGGAAGAGAAAGAGAGAGAAGGAGAGAGGGAGAGAGGGAAGAAAGGAGAGAGGTGAGAGGAAGGAGGGAGAGAGAGGAGGGAGAGAGGGAGAGAGAGAAACTGTGTGCCTTAGATACTTTCTTACCATACCTAGCAGTAAACATTCCACCAAAAGTCTACATTAGTTGCTGAAATCTCTTCCACTGACATTTGAAAACAGAGCAAGCAGTCTATCGCTCCACAATCATCAAAATACAGCACGTTTTATGAAGGTGCAACATTTGGTTTCATCAAAAATGCAAAAGCAGGCGATCTCACTAGCTACACTGAATTCAAAATAAAACAAACAAAAGCAAGAAAGAGGTACAGGGAGAGAGTTGAGTAATTCAACCACACCCCTCTTTTGTCTTCCTCTATCTATCTATCTATCTATCTATCTATCTATCTATCTATCTATCTATCTATCTATCTATCTATCTATCTATCTATCTATCTATCTATCTACCTACCTACCTACCTACCTACCTACCTACCTACCTACCTATCTATCTATCTATCTGATGGATACCTGTATGCTGTTTTGGGGGCTGTTTTGATATATTAGCATATAGAGAGAAAAAAAGAAAAGAAAGAAAGAAAGAAGGAAAGAAAGAAAGAAGGAAAGAAACAAAGAAAAGATTAGAGATAGATATAGAGAGACAGACAAACAGAGACAGGGACAGACAGACAGCTATAGATGATAGATGGATAGACAGACAGATGGTTCATCCAGCCCAATTCGTTATACCCCCATAATATTTTCCATACATAATAGTAAAGCAATGTTTCTCAGCCTTGACTACTTTAAGATGTGTGGACTTCAACTCCCAGAGTTCCCCTGGGAATTGAAATCCACACCTCTTAAAGTGCCAAGGTTGAGAAACCCAACATTAGAGACTTGTTCATAAATCAACACAATGTAGGCATTTCCCCAGACTTAATTATTAGCTAGATTTTGTATTCTCAATAATAGCTTTGCGTTTGTTCTTCCTCTGCAGCCAGAAAACATATTTAAGAAAGGAGGAACATCATGAACCTTTCAAAAGGGCTTTGGATATTGTCTCTAGTGTCCAAGGAGACCCATGTCTGTGCCAGGCTCCCCCACCTTCTGGTAAATAGTTACATCTCCTGCCTAGATACTAAAAATCAGTTATACAGTTTTCTTACCTGAACATCTTGCCTTCCCCTAAAAAGTTTCCAAGCACAAGTAATCTCGACATCTGTTTCAAGGATCTCGGCTGGAAATGCAGTTTCACACAGCCAAATTGCTTGTGTTTCTGTGGAGGAAATGGCAATTTATTTTATACCACCATCTGCGCTCTAAATGGTATCTTTTGTCATTCATGGTGTGGCTTGCAAGTGGTGCCTCTCTGCCAAATATAAAATGAGATGCCTTCCAAATTAAGGTTGTTGTGTGCATCACAAATGTAGTGTGTGTGTGTATATATATATATGACTGGCCTCCTAATTATTTCTTACGGAAGAAGAGAGAGAGGAAGAGAGAGGAGAAATGGATGGAACTGTTCATGAAGGGCTGAAAACCTATAACGTCTCTGTGAAGCACCTGAATTCACAAATTCTTCTTCTTCATTTGAGAGCAACTAGACTGAGAGGCCATATTGTAGTTTTTGCACCATTCCAAGTATCTATAAGGACGAGTCTTCAAAAATAAACTAGCTCGTTTTTGCATTCTCCAGCAAATTTGCATCATCATCGTGTTCATTGTGTTCCAATGTCCATGAGCGCCAACCAGTAGTCAGACCACAGGATGAAAACTCCTGAACTTCACAACACATGGACACGGTCAACCACAGTTTCAACCAGGAAACGGTGAGCATCCTAGACCAAGTTAACCAACACCCCCCCCAAAAAAAACAAGGAGGAAAAAACAAACAAACCAGAACACATCCTCTCCATCAGTCAACACCCAGATAAGGAGGGATTAACAGCAGATGAACAATCAAGCAGAAAACAATATCCTAACTGAGGAACTGCCAAGGAGAAAAAAACACACCTCCACCAACACTGGGAGGGCAAGCGACTGTATATAAACAGGGAACAAACCGCACATTTACTAACACTGATGATGATACCTAGTCCGCAAGCAAACCACCAAGATAAGAGAGGATCAAGACTCTTCAGTCGATCTCTGAGCTACAGTTATTTTCTTCATATGAAATACAGTCTAAGTACATTAAGAATGCTTCTCATTGACTGTCTGGTTCTCATCCCTTTGTGAGTAAAATTGAAACAGATGGATATCAACCAATTACCAAAGAAACATTAACATTGTCTTTAGCTAACAGTTAAGCATCTAAATACATCCATAAACAATAGCTTTTTAAAGCTGGATCTGCAAAACCTAATAAAGATGGATTTAAGATGTCACCGAAAGGATTCAGCATAAATGAGGAGTCTATTATTCCATTAGCAGGAAAGGCAAAAGATCCAGATTTGAGATGTTTGCTTTTATTTCTTGGCACTCTGAAAATGATGCACCTTTGGGAACATTGTTTTGTTATGTCATGCAACCTCTGGATCTATGAACGTAGCCTGGAGGCTAATAGGTTTTCCATTTTGACTTGATAAACATCAATCAAAGACGGACGTGGAACCAAACGATTGCAATGTTTTGATTGCCATCACTCATATTGTCCCATAAATCTTTGAGATTGCCCCTGAAAATACTGCAGGTAACTTCAAGGTGGAGGGCCTAATTGTCCTAATAGGATGCAAATTCCATAGGATTGTCAAGCTTCAGCAATACAAACCAAAAATCATTGGAAAATGTTAGTTTTTGGTGTCATCTCTACATCAACCTCTGGGGAAGGATGGCAGGCTGTTTGTGGAAAATTACTCATAATGATCCTTTTCAATTCCCTAAGCTTATCTTTAGCTTCCCAAATTCAGGCAGAAAGCTAGATGAGAAAAGAAACTATACGTAGCTTGTGGGTTGAACTGTGGGGCCCTCTCTGAGCTTGGTTGTCTGCCCTGCAGATGTTTCATTGCCCAACTAGGTAACATCGTTGGTGGTCCTGATGTGCTCAGTGCTACTGCAAGCCCTGATGATGTTTTCTAGTTGGGTAATGAAATATCTGCAAGCAAGCAACCAAGCTCAGAGAGCACCAAGGCTCCACAGTTAGGCGAGAGTCATAGAAGGTCATAAAAGATACTCATAATGATACTCTTAAGCATTGACCCATAGTCTTGGTTGCTATTCTCCTTCTGTGAGCAAGACAGCTCAAACCTTGAAGCAATAATTGATGGGCATCTTACCCTTAGAAGCTTCTGTACTTGACCATTTCACTTTCTGCAGGCTCTCCAAAACTCTCCCCTGCCCTAATATTCAAAGGAAGATCCTTTCTACTTGATATCAAGACCTCCTAAAATGAGCTAAACAGGAAAAGAACTCCAGTATAATAGAAAAGCCAAATGCAAAAAGAATGCATTCCTTTTTTTAAGACGATGTTTATGAAGCCTTTAGAAACTATGAAGGGCAAAGAATTTGTATGATCCATGCTTTCTATTTATTTCCTAAGATCCTGCTGCTATTCCTTCAGGAACCCTGATAACCCGTCTGGCTGAGGATTTTCCAAAGTCTTTTATAGTTGAGTAAAAATGAGTAAATCGTATATCCAGCTCGTATGAAACAACTAATGTCTCACAAGGAAGCAATATCATCAGCAAATATAGCTGTGAGTGAGTGCCTAGCTTCATATAGAGATAAAATTAAACTACAAAAGAGTCTATTAAAGTAACAGTAAGAATCTTGGCAGAAGCCCATAAAACAAAGGGCGATTCCAAAGAGTTATAGATGAAGCTACCTGTACTGTATATGCCTTAACTATAGTTTTAAATTACAACAGATGGTACAAATAATAATAATAAAAAATCCTTGTGTGCTTGTATGCTGTGTTGATAATGCTTTGATACTCTATGATCAGAGGTTAAGTTGTTGACTTAACTCTGGATTTTCCGGACTGTTTTGACTCTTGGACATTCAGATGAGGTATAAGTGTTGTGGGACTCTTCCCGTGATAAACCCAGGCTTAGTTACCCAGAAGATCTGCAGAAGGCCCCTGTATGAAATCAGTTCTCTTAGATGTTAGATGAGTTAATGATCTAGTACAGAGGTCCCCAACCCCTGGGCCGTGGACCGATACCGGGCCATGGCATGCCAGCAACCGGTCCACATAAACAAGCAAAGCCCCATCCGCGGGATGCAGGCAACGCACAAAACCAAGCACCCTCCGGTCTGTGGAAAAACCTCTCTCCACGGAACTGGTCCCTGGTGCCCAAAAGGTTGGGGACCTCTGATCTAGTAGGATTTCAAAAAAGGCTAAACATTTGACCTTTCTTGAAAGGGTCTAATATGAAATTTCCAAGACAAAGTTAGATAATATAGTAGAAACACAATTTAGCAATTGACACCTACTTATACAATGGACAAAACAACCATCCAGACATTTCCCCAGAATAACAGACAAATCTGTTGCATGGGAACTACTACAGAGGAGGCAGTTAAATTCTTGCTATTTTATCTTAATTGTACCTGTACTCCATTTCTAAATAACGTCAGTCCTTCGAATGATGCAAGTTTAAGTAATTTACCTCATGGTGGAAATAGTAAAGAGATGTACATGATGTAGTTTTGTATTTAATGGACAGTTGGGAATAGTGGACACCCTTTCTGAAATAAGTCTGTTAAATTCAAGTTCGAATATATGAGCTAGAAGACAATATCCTCCTACATCTTACAGAAATAACTGCATCACACAGGAGAAGACACGGGTAAGATAAAACCTGTCCAACATGAACATATTAATTTTAAAAAATCCAAGGAACTCTACTTGTTCAAATGTAGTTTTCTGTCTCCTACAAAGTAGATAATGGATGCGCTCACCAAACCACATAATAAATCCAAGAAATGTCGTTTGTTTTCTTTAATCAAACTGCAGCTCTGAAACTAATCTAATATGACCACAAACATGGAGCAATTGTCATTAATCTGTAAAGAAGTTGCCCATTTTTTTTTCATCCTATCGTATTTCAGAGCGTTGAAAAAATGAAACACATATGTTTCTTTGATGGGTTTCTACTCCCCCCCCCACCTCATGAGAACATCTTTTATTCGCCCTCCCATTTTTCCCCGCTCAGTAAGTCACTGTTTCAACATATGGCCTTTAAGACACACATACCCATACAAAACATACCCATATATGGTTGGACTAGAGGACCTCCAAGATCCCTTCCAACTCTGTTATTCTATTCTAAACCTCCACAGAAGATCTCAAGATTTCTCCCCAATCTAATTCCCATGTTGTTTTGCTACTAAGTTCCTGCTGCACCAAGAAAGGACTTTCTTCTCTCAAGCTAGATATATCATCTTGATACAGCTCAGCAGAGGGACAAATGGCAGGACAACATGGCCAGCAAAGAACAGAGAAGCAGAAGAAGGTTGAACTTTGGATGGTAAAGCTACCACGTGGCTAACGCTCCCCTTACATTAGGGTTTTATTTTCTTTAGCTGAGACAAAGGAGTCACTTTAAGCTTCATTAAATAAAATTCTGAGCGTGGAGCTCATATCTTCTCCTCAAACCAGAGATATGTGTGAGTAATGAGTCACTGAAGCATCGCACTCAATGGCCCAGATATGGAGTAGAGATTTACTGTGGGCTTAAGTCTGTTCTTTAGATGTACCACTTCTAGACAGATATATTGTTTTTACTTAGGAGCTGTGTCAGGACCCCAATTTCCTCAAGATGGGAGGGTATGATGAATGCCAAAGGTGAGTTAGAGAAGGGAGAGGGGTATTTCGCAGTCCTATTCCTATTTCTCTCTTCCGTCAAGTAGGAGAATTCTGCATCAGATATTAGGGCACAATGCTTTGGTAGACTTCCACCATTCTTAAACTCTTATCTTGGATGTCCATAACACCAAAGCTCTCTCAGAAGGAACAAGGCTTTTGCTTGTTCCTGGCTTCAATTGGCTCCCAACCTGGAATAGTCCACTATCTACTGGTGCTTCAGAGACCTCATTCTTAGAAAGACTACCAGCTAGAGGGCAGAGATGCAAATCGTTGGGTCTATGCAAACCAACCAACACTGGAGGAGGGCATTTCTGCCTGAAAACATTTCAATAGATAAGGTGGTGGGAACGGCAGTCAACTAACTATAAGATGATCTGAATTAGAACTTTACATAGGTAAATTTCATTTCATTCATTACACATACGTTTCATTCACATATATACATCTCTCCTTTACTAAGGAGAAATTTCCTGACAGTGAGAACAATTAACCAGTGGAACAGCTTGTCTCCAGAATTAGGGGGTGCTCCATGACTGGATGGTTTTTAAGAAGAGATTGGACAGCCATTTATCTGACATGACCTAGGACAGGGGTCCCCAACCTTGGCAACTTTAAGACTTTAACTCCCAGAATTCAACTCCCAGAATGATGGGAGTTGAAGTTCACAAGTCTTAAAGTTGCCAAGGTTGGGGACCCCTGATGTAGGGTCTCTTGCTTGGGCGAGGGGTTGGACTGGGGGGGTCTCTTCCAACCATGTTATTCTGTTATTCTTTCAATGATCACACGTATCCATTGTGCTCCCAGCACGAACTTTGAAAGCACTGTTTGTTTGACCTGCATGCCGAAGATTCCTCTCAGTAAATACGACACCACCTGTGAACTGATCGACTCTGGGTCTTTATTGCCAGGGGTGAGTTAGGATCTTGGACATCCATTCCATCAAGCCCAAAGAAAGTCCAGAGTGGTATTGGATCTCCTGCCAGGGGGTTGGGCTAGAAGGCCCCCAATATCCCTTCCAACCCTATTATTCTATCTTCTGCATGAGACATCGTGGCTAATTTCCAGCAGGTGCCAGGAGCTCACGTTGTGTGGGATCAGAAGTTAAGCAGGGCTGGACCTGCGTAGTGCTTGAAGATCATCAGGGAATCTTCTGGCTGAAGACTAGACTGCCAAATTGGGGAGGAGGGGGAAGGATCTAGGAAGAAAGCCATGGAAAAACACCTCTCTACTCTTGCCAAGAAAGCAACATGGACAAAGTCAACCGGAGTGGAGCTCCGAGCTTGTCTCACAGCAGCCTGTACTAATAGCTGCTAAACTAACCATCTGCCCAATCCTAGCATCCTCACTTAGGATTCAGGCAAGGTTGTTATAATTATCTCGGCTCTCCCCTAAGTCAGATAAGTGAACCAACGCAACACAGACATACCTGATTTGTGTGGCTGCTGTTGAGCTACTTCAAATGAGCAATAGAATTATGCATTTATTTTAGACTGCAAGCTTAAAATAGGAAATACGTTCTCAGGGTGCCTCCAGTTTTAACCACACCGAACTCTCTTACCTTTGATAAATCAACTATGTATGGCAGCAACAAACTGCCTGTAGCCCATAGTATATGCCCAGCTGGTCCAATCTGGCAGAGTTGGCATGTTCTGGTTGGGCTTCATAGAATCATAAAGCTGGAAATGACCTCGGAGGTCTTCTAGTCCACTCCCACACGCAAGGCAGAAGTCCTTTTTCTACCCTGAACAAATGTTTATCCAATCTCTTTTTCAAAACCTTCAGTGATGGAGCACCCATAAGTTCTGGTGGCAAGCTGTTCCACTGATTACTTGTTCTCACTGACAGGAAATTTCTCCTTAGTTCTAGGTTGCTTCAATCTTTGATAAGCCTCCATCCATTGCTTCTTGACCTATCCTCGGGCGTTTTGCAGAATAGGTCAACAACTCCTTCTTTGTGACAGCCCCTCAACACTGAAAGACCCCCAAGCCTTCTTTTGGTTAGGCTAAACATACCTAATTCCATTAACCTTTCATCATAGGGTTTTGCCTCCAGACCCCTGATTGTTTTTATTGCTTCTGTTAGCCCATTTCTCAACAACACAAAGGATTACAGTTTGCCATTGTAGCCCATCACGTACTATTTAAGAATCCGAGTTTGCCGCGCACACAGTCCTTTTTAGGTATAGACATACCAAGATCTTAAAGAAAAAGAATCATTTCAAAACTGAAAAGCTCAGAAGCCGATCTGCATTCACTGCTTTTCAAGGAGACTAAGTTGATTTGCTTATACCACCACCTTGTGGCTCTGGAATTAAACTTTTGAAAAGTTCCCAAATTCACAGAAGTATTTGGAAAACCCCAACTATTTTGTGTCATGGCACCTTAAGTACAAATTTATAAAAATTAGGGAGTTCACACATCTATGATGCCATGATTGCTTCTAAAAGCTTCTGCAACTAGTGGGCTTCAAAGATCACAAACCTCGAATCATGGACCACAGTACAGTCAGCCAAATAAACCACATTATGATTAATGTGCTGTCTGAATACCATGTTTGAGCCTAAATTTTAGGCCTGTCCAACCTATAAACTTGGTTTGTCTGTCTTTCTTCTTCCCTGAATGTTTTCTTGGTCTGTTTTCATATTTATACTTGATTTTCAATCTTCAACATATAGTACGGTAGGTTAAAAAAGTACAAAAATGCAACATTTCAACAATAAACCAGTTATCATCCTGTCAGTACAAAATTGATTTATTCTCAAGTTCTTGCTACATTTTACCTGTGATGCATGTTAAAAGCACTACGCTGTTTAATGTAACTCAACCTGGTTTAAATAAGATGAATAGTCGCAAATGTTTTGTGTGTTATCCTATCCCTGATTTGAGATGTTTATATCTTTCTGTTGACAATAAATTAGTTATTGCACTATCCAAGTCATCCGCGTGTGTAGGAAAGAGATGGAAGGTGGTCACAAAATGGGTCCTGCAACACGGCAATGCCAAGTCTACCTTTATGGAATTATGTGTGACTTCCATGTTTCATGAGGCAACTGGACTTTCTGGTTTTTCTTTGAAGACGTTTCGCTTCTCACTCAAGAAGCTTCTTCAGCTCTGACTGGATGGTGGGGAATGGAAGGATTTATACTCCTTGCAGACAGCTGGTCATTTGTGTTCTTTTAGAGAGTCGTTGAGGCCATTTGGTGATTTATCTGTGTCCTCAGGATCACCTGAGTAGTGCAAATGGGTGTGGAGCCTTCTTGGAGCTGTTGAAAGGACTGTGTTGTTGACTAGATGTTGTATCCCTACCCCTTTGTTGAGAGAGGGCTGTTCTATTTGACATAGATGGCCTCTTTGACCCCTCCTTCAAACCAATCTCCGTAGACTTCCATGTGAGCAAATGTTTTTTGAGTTAGACTGGCTTTGCTCTACCATGTAAGAGCTGTGTACGGGAATGTCACCAATATGCTCCAGACACTTGGTAACAGGTGATCAAGGAGGAAAACTCCATGGAAAGAAAAGACGGGAGGGAACAAGAGAGAAGGAGGGAGGGAGGGAGAAAGGGCAGAGCAGGTGTGATTATACCCTGCTGCACCTACCTTTATTTGAGTATGGTTGTGGTTAGGATCACCACACCCTTATTGCTTCAGCTCTGGAAAGTAGACAGTTAACGCATCCCCATCTCCAGAAACCATCAATAACTCCACACAGTTCAGGCATATCACGAGGATCATTTAGTTATCTTTCATACATTCCCTCAACGTAGTTTTGAATTTATTCTGCAGATTAGCTATCGCTGCTCTCCTCACT